GGATATGTATTACTGTGTGTATGTGTATGCATGTTATGCCTAATAGTAATTATTTAGTTGTTTGTCAGAAAGAGTTTCATGTCTAGGGCCCCGCTTTTTCAACTATCGTTCGTCAATAATTCCATTTCTTCTTTTTTTTCACTTGATTTTAAAACTGTGGATGAAGGTGACCCCATTCTATTTCCTATTCTAGTTCAGTCCACCTAATTTCTGGCCTTACACTGAGGAAGGTTGCTTTCACGTCTTTGTGGATCACTTGGGTGTCTAGCTTTCGTGTCTCTCGTTACGGTACTGTTCAATCTAAACATTGTCTCTCAGTTTCGCCGATTCTTATAAGTAATTTGTATGTATGCATCATGTCTATTCTATAAATCTTTTATTTAGGTGTCGTTAAATTAGCACTTTTAGTCTATTCTGGTAGCTCAATCCCTTCAATGGTGGGTGTAATCTTACAGCAAACATCTACAATTTCTGAATATTTGCTTTATGCTTTTTGAGGCAGGAGATCAATGCTGTTGCTGCATACTCTAGCTCTGGTCGGACGTATGTTATATGTTTAACATCAATGTTTAGGTTCCAAATGTTTAGGTTCCAGAAAGCTATCTGAATGTTTGACAGATTAGCATATACTGGTAATGTGTTTCAGGTGAGTCACATCAGAAAATATGTTCGAAGTTATGGCTTTTCCAAGATCTTTTTCTCTTAATGGCCTTGGTAGTCTCTTTCATCGCGAATTGTTCCTTTGGCCTCCTTATCCCTGATCCTAATCTCATTACTTTCCACTTATCTGGATATATATATATACCGAAGTCACTTATCTGACCAAGCCTTCAACTTATCCAAGTCATTCTGAAGCTGCAATCATCGCTTGTACTGATTTCCCTCACGGGCTTTCCGGCGTCAAACAACATTGACACACAAGAGTCTATTGCATCAGCTGTCATTTACGTACACAAGGAATAGCATGGGTCCCAGCTCTAGCCCTTTGTTGGACTCTTCTTATGACATTTGTCACTTGGTGATAATATGACTCATGGTTCACCCTCTCATTGTTATTCTTTGGTTCCAGTTCGTTTCGAACTCTTTAGTTCCTCACTCAATTAGGTACTCTAATCGCAGGCGATGAGTCACAATAACGTGGCTGAAGTATGTTGACCAGACCACACACTAGAAGTTGAAGGGACGACGACGTTTCGGTCCGTCCTGGACCATTCTCAATCGACTTGAGAATGGTCCAGGACGGACCGAAATGTCGTCGTCCCTTCAACTTCTAGTGTGTGGTCTGGTCATCATCAAGGTACTCTAATCGTTACTGCGGACTGGTTTTAAAATTTGTACACGAATCTCATGTGAGGGGGACTATGTCAAGTTCCAGTTATTAATCTAAATTTGTGAAAGCTGCACACTAATTCCGTTCATGTCTCTTCACGGAAAAATTAAAATCAAGTCTGAACCGGTGTTGTGATTTCATGTAAACTTAATGGTCCCTCGATAGTCCAATATTACTTATTACTTCAATAATGTTCACATTCACTTAGCATACAGATGGTGTCACAATAATGAGGCTGAAGATATGAGATATGATGAACAAACCTTAAGTCAGTTAATAGAGAAATGACGATGAACCGATATCCCGTCGTCTCTTCGTTATCTGATGTGTGGTTTGGTCACCAAATTACTTTTATCCTTTCTAAAGACTCTGTTCTGTACTTTATTGATTCATTTATGTTTCCTTTCTTACATGTTTTTTTTCTTTTATGTGGCTCCTTCAGCTATAAAAGGTACCATCCTTCTCACCTGTGATGCAATGAATTTTTTGTTAAAGCTTTTACATACATTTACACAGTGTGTGTGTGTGTGTGTGTGTGTGTGTGTGTGTGTGTGTGTGTGTGTGTGTGTGTGTGTGTGTGTGTGTGTGTGTGTGTGTGTGTGTGTGTACTCACCTAATTGTACTCACCTAATTGTGCTTGCGTGGGTTGAGCTTTGGCTTTCTGGTCCCGCCTCTCAACCGTCAATCAACTGGTGTACAGATTCTTGAGCCTACTGGGCTCTATCATATCTACATTTGAAACTGTGTATGGAGTCAGCCTCCACCACATCACTTCCTAGTGCATTCCATTTATTAACTACTCTGACACTGAAAAAATTCTTTCTAACGTCTCTGTGGCTCATCTGGGTACTAAGTTTCCACCTGTGTCCCCTTGTTCGTGTCCCACCCGTGCTGAAGAGTTTGTCTTTGTCCACCCTGTCAATTCCTCTGATAATTTTGTTGGTACTGATCATGTCTACCCTAACTCTTCTTTCTTCCATTGTCGTTAGGTTCAGTTCGAGTAATCTTTCCTCAAAGATCATTCCACTCTGCTCGAGGTGGCTTACTTCTGAATCTTTTCTAATTTCGTTTTGTGCTTGACTAGATGTGGACTCCAGGCAGGAGCCGCATATTACAGTATTGGTCTGACATACAAGAAATAGAAGGTTCTGAAAGATTCCTAACACAAGTTTCTGAAGGCGTTTCTTATGTTCGCCAGCATTGCATACGCCGCTGATGTTATTCTTTTGTTGTGAGCTTCAGGGGACAGGTCTGATTTAATATCAACCCCATAGATGTTTCTCTCGTCCTTACTCCTGAAGGATTTCCTCTCCTAACGGGTACCTTGTGTTTGGCCTCCTGCTCACTACGTCTATCTTCATCCCTTTGCACTTGCTCGAGTGCGAAGTGTTCGCTGATGATACTAGTGTTCTCTAGTAGCTATTTGTTGGCCCATTCCTTCACTCTATTCTGGTCAACCTGTAGCGTCTTGCTGTCCTCCTCTTAATCCTTCTCATAATTTTCATCATCAGCAAACATTGAGAGGAATGAGTCTATACCTTCTGGAAGATCTTTCACGTATATCAGAAACTGGATAGGTCCAAGTACAGAACCCTGCGGGACTCCGCTAATGACATCACGCCAGTCTGAGGTCTCACCCTTCACAGTAACTCTCTGCTTCCTGTTGTTTAGGTACTCTCTTATCCACTGGAGCACCCTACCACTTACTCCAGGTTGTTTCTCCAATTTATGCAACAGTGTCTTATGGGGTACTGTGTCAAACGCTTTTTGACAATCCAAGAAATTGCAGTCTGCCCATACTTCTTTCTTGCTTAATGCTTGTTGCTGGACATAACGCTGGACATTGTGTCCAACACCTTAATCCTTTCTCCATAACGTATTGCATATAAATATGGAGCGATTAAAGTTCCATATTTACATGCCTTTTTATATTCATTTTTAAGTTTGCTTTTTATGATTTTGAGATTGAGGGCTCCACGATGGGGCTTCATGCTCTGCGCCTGGCCTCACATAGGTGGTAGACTGTGATGTAAATGTTATTCTAACGTTTACCTGTTTAGAATATGCACCATTAATTGTTACCTTGAACCTGAATCATTAACGTAGAGGAAGTCAACAACGAGTCGACCCCTTGGGAGCTAAAATGTGGTGTTCTAGGTTACTCCATCCATTAGGGTCAGCAACTGAGCGACACTGCCGCGGCCTTGTGTCGGTGCTCTGGGGGCGGAGGGAAGCGACCAGTATATAAGGCGTCGGCGGCACCACACAAGCAGTCAACATCTCGCTTATCGACTCCCAAACATCATGGTGAGGCTTCTACTTAATAACA